TGAATGTTTGTGATATTTGAGCTAGTTATTTGCTATCTGTCGTTGACCATCACTTCGCTGACCTTGATCCTTTGAATATCGTACCTTATTCTTTTACCTCCCCATCTGAGTTAGCTGACTGCCAATTTGGTATCATAGTGACATAAAAAGGGGTAATTCATGCAAATACTGACAAAACTGTTGTGATGGTATGGCAACACATATACCTTAGCAGTATGTCACTCCTCTTTCTCCGGTTTTATCGGACGTTTTTAACTCACGTTTTGTTAAAGAAGTGAACCCTCAATTTTTGAAGGATTATTTTCGTTCCACTTCCGCAACGAAAGAGACATCGAAATTCCACCTTTCAGCTTGTAACTCAGCCCCTTCAAAGCTTATAAAATATTCTCACTGCAATGAATTTTCTTACCGTCGTTATCGTTCAATATCGTGATTTTCAATTTAATTTGGGCCTTTCTTGAAAGAAAGATTGAGGTATTCCAAATCTGCTATTAAGTTAAACTAACAGTCTTCTTTATATAACCGTACTAGAACTACCAATCAATACTAATCAATATTGAGATAAAGCATCAACAATTGATCTATTGACCGATTACTTCATTGATCACTAACGGTTTACTTGGCATCGCGGCTGCATTTACCATCCATTAATTTCCAAGCAGAATGCATTGCGTGAATCAATATTGTCTTCTTGCATACCCTCCATTGCAGCTTGCGGCAGCCCTTTTAATATTTGAATGTGCTGCGAAGTAGGGACAAACCAAGATGAAACACTGTGGCCGATACCAGCAATATGTGATTTAACTGGGTTAGTACCTGATGACGAGGATTCCACTATTGTCGGATTGTTTGAGTAACATTTAGTCAGCACGCTAGAAAGAGAAAAATGTTCCTATTCGCAACTCAGACCAGTTTCAAATTTTATCAGTCAAGGCGTTCAAATGAAAAGACAAACAAACTAACCGATTTACAAATATTCTCGCCCAGGGAGCCCTTGGGTGCTTCAAAACGAAAAGTTTCTCTTCTGAGTGTTTTATAGTGCCAAAGTGTGGCGGTATCCCCAAAGTATGATCACGGGAGTCAAAAATGATTGCGACTGGTGACATTGAAAAAGTTACATATTTCATTATGAGGGAAATTGTTTAAAAAGTGTTGGTTTTTTACAGGCATTGTTCTCTCTAGTTTTGGCCATATGTAAAGAGAAGCAGAGAGAGACTGACTGGCTGCTTTGTGTTTACCACGAAACCTAAGATCGTCTAGCTGACCACCTTCTGATCACTAAAAATGCGGTTTTCATCCATGAATAAGCTCGCGTGTTCTAATTTTCCTAGCATGATGCCGCTGGAAACTCGCCCGCACACACCTGATACAATAAAGAATTCGCAGATGACCGCAAAGCCCTCGGTTGAAGGGAAACGCAGAGCAGCAACTTTGATAAACATATCATCACCTCCTCCGAGTTGACCAACCTCACATGTTGGATAGACTTGGTTGTACAAGTACCAAGGAAGTTATGCAAGAATCATAAAACGAAACCGGCATCAGCATATCCATTTAGCAGTAGGACTGTTTTACTTTAGTTATCAATCATAATATTGCATGATAAGCTTTCAAGATTAGAGCTTCAGCGAATTCAAGGTTTCCTGGGGACAAAAGAGGAATCCGAAAATGGATGGAGGTTGCGGGACTCGAACTTACAACTTCTTGTTGTATTAACCCGAAATACTTTAGCACCATCATCTAGATCTCGCAATATGGCCGCTTCGATGAGGCTTCTAACACAACGAAGCTGTTGACACCTAACAGATCGTATATACTTTCCCCTATTTTATCAACCGTTTAGGAAAAATCCAGTAGCACCAACTATGAGATATGAAATCTCCTTGAGATTTATTGAAAAAAATTCAAACACAAACGATATTTCCGTAGACAGTTAAAGCGGCTTTTTTAATTCTATGCCTACAAGATTCAGGTGATAGTTTAGATTGAACACAGCACAAGGAGTTTGTGATAGCTTTTTCTACTTTCGTGAAGCTATTTGCGGTTACAATAATAATAATATTCTAATGTTGGCTATAATAATTTCACTATTTCTGTCATTATTTAGGAAATTATATTACACCTGAAAGCCCATTATGTACTTGATCAATTGATTAGTGAGTCCCACGAAAGTACTCATTTATATGAGTACTTCCTTACAATGTAAACATTGCACTGAACCGGGAAGTTGTCTAACACCTGATAAACGGCTAATATACGATAAAGCACCGTACGGGTTGTCATTCACATCTCTGCAATTTAAAGATTCAATTATAAATTGTTACCTAGTTATGCAGCGAAACACATCGGTTTCGTTTAGGGTGAACAAGCTCAAAGCAGTGGTTTAAAGTTGCATGATATTTTATCCTAGAAACTGGGTAATGGCATTTGATATCTCTCCCGAGAAACCTTTTACTCAACCTCAACTCTGCCACAGAAAGAAACGTGAATACGAGTGTTGTCACATAAGCTCAGCAGAAGAGAAATTTTGTTACTGATTCACACCTGCAAAGGAAGAAAATGTATGTCTCTGACCTGTGTTTTACCGTATCCATTGCACAAAATTCCGAATGGGATCAGATAGATTGGACTATGCGAAGTATTAGGCAAAATCCAGCATACCATCCTTACATATCGTGAGAAAATGACGACTCTGAAGGATGTCAAGCATTTTTCGGTGACTCTCGAGGTTGATCAAACTCCATGCGGCGCCAATTCCCTACAATTTAGTGCTATTATCCAACTGATATGCAAAAATATAGATACTTTTTAGTATGGAGTGGAGAAAGTATTGCTAAACTTAAGTTCTTCCACGGAAGTAGTACACTCATAGGGGTCTACAGTGTTCTCAAGATCATGGAATACGGAAATCGTCTTAGAATCATATAATTTGAGTTGGCGTCTCCTCATTTACCGGGTTAGGCGTGTGGGTGGAAGTCATTTCAGTATAGTTTGAATTGAACCTAGTAAGGTCCAGTATCATATTTAAAGGAGTGATTTATTTGATATCGTTTTTTTAATCTTATGTACTGACTGATTGGTTGGATCACAAAACCGGAAACATGGGTAAAGGATAGTGTGATTTAAAAGCATATAAATGAAACAATAAACATGAGTATGGTAATGAAATACTTATTTACGCAACCGGAACAATTCTGGAAATGCTTTTCTCCGATTAAAAAAGCAATTGATCAATCCCCCTCCGCCTATACGTATAAGTTTTAATTTTTCAATGCCATTTTAACTCCAGTTAATGTTGAACAAGACGAAACCGCGTTTACTGGAGTAGCATTCTCGAGCAATCAAGAAATACGTTAACGATGGAATAAATCTGTCAACTGATGAACGCAATTCACAGAAATTATTTTTTGTTCTCCATCCGTGAGAATTGTTTATATCACTCGTCCAGTAAGAACGATTTCCCCAAACCGGTTCTCCTTGGGATTCTGTCATTTATTTCAAATCATTTTGGTGTGCGCGTGTGCATGTGTAAGGGGCAATCAAACATCAAAGTCGACGGTATTTGTTTACATTTGTTTCCGATTAGTAATAAGCTTTTCTAATTTATAAAATATGTTCACAACGCACAAGATTTTTCAGACGATCTATTTCACTTACGGCCCGGAAATCCATAACATATCAGATAGTATACTCCATCACCTGTCAAATGTATCACCATCCAAGAAGAACCAATACCGGTTGACTAACTTGCTTTCGAAATGCACACTTAAGACATCGATCACCGATGATCACCAACAGCGATTCAGATCCATTCCTTACAATACAGTGATTATGAAAACATGCAAATAAATTAGGTGAACATTTATCACAAAGATATTTAATCAATTCGGGTATTATTACATAATGTCTTAGCATATTTGAGGAATAATTAATTGGCGTATAAATTAGGCTCAGAAGTTCTCATTACCTATAGGAGTTGTTCGCGAAGAACGCTGATAATCCGATTACTTTTGTGATATTCGCCTGTCAAACATTGCCATGCACACGCAGACATGCAAGCAGACACACTCGCATGCCTGTTTGCAGGGTTTTTCTGAATCCGTGGGGTCAACGATGGGTAGAGTGCGAAATAGAGAACACCAGAAGAAAAATACTGCTCTAAGACTACTCGATGTGTGAACTCCTTATTCGCATTTATATCTTCCGTCCGGGAAGAAAATGTTCACAGTACAAATACACCGGTCCACGATCGCAGATGACCATTCCCAATTTAGGATGGTAGCACACATAGGTCAGTTGGTCCTCGTCGATTCCTGGATGGTATTCCTCTGCCGATTTGACCGGAATCTCCGGGGAATCAACACGTTTAGATTCCAGTGAACTAACTGTGGCTTTAACGGATATCGGGTTTGGGGTCGCTGCTCCCGAAGACCGTGATGCAGTTCGTGACGATGACGGTGATGGTACTGGTGGTGTGAGGACTGGCCTTACTGTGCTTATTTTCGGTGATGCAGATTTGATTAGTGGTTGTTCTTGGAAAGCCCTAGGCATAACAACTGGTTTGACTTTATCCACTGACGAAATGGATGGATTTGGAACTGTTTTTGTCGGGGGCGAGGGCAATCTCGGTGGTGTGGCTGGTGTTGGTTGTAGNTGTAGTGCTGATACGGTTGGTTTCTGAATTTCCACCAAGACTGACTCATTTCCACGTCGCGCACTGCTCGTTGGATCCGTGGACATGGACCACGAACTACCGATATCTTCACCGCGATATAGACCCAGTTCGATTCGCGAAGTGTCCGATAATCGATAACCGCTAGTCGAGGCACCTTGACCCAAATCGGTTTGTATGTCACATTGACTTACGCGGTGTTGCGGATCACATAATGGTTGTAACAATTGGATCAACTTATCTCGATGTTTGCCTGAGGGTAATAACATGACCACATATTGCTTATTAGATGGATTGAATCGAGACTGGATACCCATAGCCAGAAGTGAAGGTACCGCGTGAAAGGTGACAAGTCCGCGAACTTCCATCAGTTGAATACTCCGAATTACTGAACCTGGCCACCAAACTGCACTGGACAGCCAAATTTCCGTCCGAGTCACATGCAGGTTGGACCACTTTTGTGGTTTGGGCTTATTTTTGGATTGTTCCAAACGACGCTGTTCCAAGACCCAGTGATTGAATTCATCGGAAATCAGGAGACTCACATAACGTCGAATGCGTATTTGTGTTTTGAACAGATTTTTCTCCGACATTTGTTACACAAACGATCGGTCTTGTCCCAGTAGATTTATACAATGTGCACCAAACTTTGTTCTACTCACCTGAGCGAAACAGAGCACCAAGCAACGAACCGATCACCGTTCGATTGATTTGTACGATCACTTTTTGTTTTCTTTTAATGGTTGTAAAGACGGATCAATAGTGATGAGGGGCCTGATCAGATGCGGTAGATGGCGAGTCAACGATGCGATGGGGAGGGGGCAGAAGACAGAGGCGAACTCGTCACCAAAGTCCGGTCGTTTGTGACCTTAGCAACTAATTAGTACGTTTTATTATTTTGTAGACACTTTTGGGTAGACTGCTGTGTCAGAACCAACAATTCATGCAATGACAGTAACTAATCGTCGTACACGTGACCTGATGGTGCTTTTAATGAACGCCAACGGTAGCAATAGATGGAAGTCATGACTACGGAATTTAATTTATGTTAGGCATTGAATCATTTAATAACAGACTGTAGCATGACTGCATTCAGATTGTAGGTGGAAGACACAAACGGGCAAAAGGCAAACAACGGATGAATGAACAGACAGATGGAATGACAGACAGGATTGTGAAAGTGATAGGTAAGATGTTGTGGCTAGATGATATTGGGTCAGGAATATTTTCTCAAATGAACCCTGCTTCCTTTTTAAAATGGAAGACATTTTCAATAGATTTTTAAGCAGCGTTGGGGCTTCTGCAAAGCTATTGCTAACATTCAGCGAAACGAGTAATGATCTGCATCCGGTTCTTTCCCGGATCACATTACTGACTCTCTGTGTTTTCAGATCGAGATTTTTCTGTCCTCTCACTTTTAAAGGTCCATGGCTTTATCCGTAGGATATTTGTGTAGTGCGCTGACTTGTGCAGGATATTGTCGAAGGCAAAACCGCATGGAACACTGTTTGAATCAGCCAACATTTCTTGTATCATAATGCACGGGATCGTGCAACTCGAAGTTCGGGACAGTAAATCACTTGAGTAGGATACTCACTTGTGAGTAATAGGTAACTTTCGATGATCAAAATATAACAAGACCACCAAGGGCCAAGTGATATGTTTGGACGAATAACTACTGACTGCTGTAGACATTACCCTATGTGTCGGAAAGAATTGCGATGGCACGTTTCTGATTATGTTCTTGTGTTATGCATGCAAAATTACTGACCTGCCGTCTGCAATCCTCATTAAACGAATAACCTCGACCAGCACCGCCTTTTGGAATTGTAACACTACTACTACTACTACCACTACTGTAGAGCACCTCCTTTCGTTGATTTATTGCTCAATAACCTTCAATATTTGAGTAGATTATATACTACGATGTCCTTTTAAGTTGCCTGTGCATTCAGCGATAAACAATCGGTCACATATCCGTTTTACTACCGGACCGATACTTCGTAAACCAAAGTTAATTCTCTGATTGTTGGGGAAACCGATGAGTAGAATGGATGATTTTTATTAGTCTTAGATCATTAGCAGGCACAATCATCAAATATTTTGAATCCATATAGTCACAGTTATGGTCCTAAAATCGATGGAGCAGAAAAACTCTACAAACGTGGTAGTGTCACCCTACAGCTTCCAGACAGCACTTCAGGGCTGATGTTTCTTGCAAACTGTCATGAAGTGAACTCTGCTGCATGCAAATTTTATACAAATCAAGGTGAAAAATAGGTAATTACAAGAGACTTCAATATAAAACATCTGTTATTTGTTTAAATTTAATTACGATTTTTGGAAAACTTCCCTCCGGGGAAATGTTCCATGGTTGCAAGGAAATGTGCGTCCTTAAAGTTATCAAGTTCAAACCATGGGAGGGAAAAGAAATCTATTTCTCGGAATATACCAGTGACACAATGAATGAAAAACGCAGTTTAGCGAAAAATCTTTTTTTCGGTGACTCATCAACTGGCTAATACGTCACATTTTATATCACATCATTTTGTATAGAAAAGGGGAAACAAAACTAATCATTT